CCTATCTCAAGTAGTTATGCTAGCCGGTGGTTTATGTAAGAAAAATATGATTATCCTTTGGAGCATCCAAAAAGGTGGAGATTCGCTATTGATTACCGTAAATTAAATTCCATAACGAAATATCGGTTATACCGTTACCGATTATAGAAGAAATTTTAAGGAACATAAATCAACCAAATTTATGACGACTTTAGACTTAACGAATGGTTATTTTTCAAATAGGGATCAGGCTGAGGACGTGCCTAAGACTGCTTTTATAACCAAGTCTGGCACTTATGCATTTTTGCGAATGCCGTTTGGCCTTTCAGGCGCCCAGCAACATTTCAGCGATGCATGGACATTGTGTTAAGACCTGTTCTTGGAAAGTCCACATTTATCTATTTAGACGATATCATTATTACTAGTGATATCTAGACCAACATGTACAGGATTTAAGACAGGTGTTTTCTTTATTAAATGAGGCCGGTCTAAAAGTTAATGTCGAAAAGTGCAAATTTGCAGCCCCTGAATTAAAATATTTAGGTTACAAAATATCGCAAAAAGGATCGAGACAGATGAATCAAAATAATCGCTGTACAAAAGTATCCGACTCCAAACACGGCAAGAAGAAGCTCTCTTCTTTTCTAGGACTTTGTTCATATTATAGGTCCTTTATAAAAGATTTTGCGGCTATCGCTGAACCATTGTTAAAATTAAAAAGGAAAAAGGCAAGATTCTCGTGGACGGCCGAAGCCAATAGTGCTTTCGAAAAATTAAAACAAGCATTAACGCAAGCCCCTGTGTTGAAATTTCCTGAAAAGGATGAAATTTAGAAATTTCAGCGGATGCTTCGGATTATGCGGTAGGAGCGGTACTTTCGCAAAATCAGCAGCCCGTGGCATTTTTTAGCCGAACTTTAAATCAAACACAAAGAAACTATTCCGCGACCGAGAGAGAGGCACTTGCAGTTCTGTTAGCAGTGCAAAAGTTCCGAGTCTATTTTGGAAAGGCGCCGATAACAGTATATTCTGATCATGCGGCGGTAACTAGATTGTACTCAGGGAAAAATTTATCCCCAAGGTTAATAAGATGGGCACTCAAGCTGCAAGAATATAATCTGGTAATCAAGCATACCCCCGGAAAGGAAAATATCGTAGCAGATGCCCTATCACGAATTAAATTAGACGAACAGGGTAATACCGTAAAAGTTGCAATGCTCACAGCATGTACAATAAATTCCCGAGAAACTGTAATAACCGAACTGGGTAAGGATCCTGAGTTTGGAAGTATTTATGAGTATTTGAAGGATCCTGAAAATTTTAGCCACCAAGATATTGTGGCGATAAGAAATAGGGCGGCCCATTACGAACTAATAGATGGTCTATTATTTTATACAAAAACTACGAATTCCAACAACGAATTTCGACCTGTTATCCCAGCTAGTTAAATTAAATTAGCTTAGATTAAATATCCTGCAGGAGCTTGACCATGACAGCCCTTTAGCTTCTCATGCTGGTATTCGAAAAACTATCCAACGCGTACGCGAGGCAGTCTACTTTTCCTGAACTGCAAAAGTTAACAAGGGCGTATGTCCAGTCCTGCCCAACATGTCAAGCAGTTAATTATATTAATTTCCGCCCGGCCGGGTTTCTAAATAGTATTAAAATCCGAATTTCCAAATGAAATAATCGGCATCGATTTATTGGGCCCTTTCCCAAAAAGTCAGTTAAATAAAAGTCGCTATCTCCTTGTTATGGTTGATCATTTTAGTAAGTGGACCGAAATTGTTCCCTTAAAACGAGCCTCCGCGAAATTAGTTACTGATTCTATTTTAAATAAATATATTTTAAAATACGGGGCGCCCCTAAAAGTTATATCGGATAATGGTCCTCAATTTGTAAGTAATATATTTGAAGACATGTGCCAAAAACTGGGCATACGTCATTTAAAAATGGTCCCGTATCGGCCGCAATCAAATATAGCGGAACGGGTCAATAGAAATATAGTGAAAATTATCCGTAGTTATGTTAAAAAATTTTCATAAAAGCTGGGATAACTATGTCAATGAATTGCTTTCGCCCTTAGGACCGCAAAACATGATACAACGGGCAAAACTCCTGCTGAGTTATTTTTAGGCAGAAAGATTATAACGCCGTTAGATAAACTTATTTTATGTGCAACAAAGAGCCCCAGAATTTAAAATGGGTGATATAGAAAAACTAATTAAAGAAGCAAAAAAGAATACAGAAGTAGCACAAAGAAAACAAAAGCTGTATTATGACTTGAAACGACGGGGAGTAACTTATAAAGTAGGGGATGAAGTTTTAAAAATTAAGCATTCACTTTCTTCAGCACCAGAAGATAAAACTGCCAAATTTTTTTCCACGATTTGAAGGACCATATGTCATAGAAAAAATAACTCACGCTGTAGTAGGTGTTAAAAGGCCAAGAAATGGTGAAACCTGTTCCGCAAACATTGATCCAAATAAAACCCTACTATGATCGTAATAAAATGCAAATATTTTCAGATCTTTTGCAGGATCCGGTACGGCAGACACCGCAGGTACAAGTTCCAGAGGTGGGAAAAACGACAAGTACAAGGGCAAGCCAATGAGAGACAGGAAGCAAGTGAAAAGAAAATTGCCCCCCGCGGAAAAATTGAAGGTACAAAGAAAAAGAAGCCGTTCCACCGTCCAGAAAAACAGAGTTCACGAACACCCCCAGAATGAAGAAGGGAGAAGGACGACGTATGTGGAAAGAGACCAGGAGAAAGGACGGCAACTATAACCCGGCTGTGAAAACGGAAGATCTGACTCATCCGACAGAACTCTCCGCAGCAAAATGTCGCCGAACTGCGGAAGGGCCATCCAGCGGCGGAGGAAAAAGTACAAGGAAAAATTTGAACGGCCAGCAACGAGGTCCAAGCAGGATCACGACAGAAGTTTCCCGGTTCCGCCAAGACCAGCTGCCATCAAACGGCCAAGACCACACAGCAGAGGAAAAAGGAAGGTATTCAAGGGTGGCCGAACTGGTGAAAAAAGAAGCTTCCAGAGGAAAGCACTGAAGGGCGAGCCCGTACAAGAAGGAGGATCAAATCAAGCCAACGTCTGCGCTACCTTTAAGGACTGGGCCCAGAAAAGGAATGTCCGAATATTACAAAGATAAGTAAAATTTTATGTTACTTTGCAAACTTAAGTTAATCTTTCATTCTTACTGCAAGTGGCAGATTTCAAGAAGTTTTACCTCATGCGAGGTCTACCTTTATCGCCAAAAGGCGAGAAATGAGTTGTGACCGATTTTGGTATTATGTTTTTCAATTACTCGCGCGTAAAACTAAAGTTGATGTATAATAGCGTTGTGTAAAGACTTAAATATTGTAAAAAGTTATTGTATAAATTTTATTTAAAACATTCTAGGCAAGAAAGAAGTTTTAGTCTGAAAGACTTTTTGAAATGTAGTATTATTTCAATGTAGAAAGAATTGGCACTTGCTTTGAAAAGAATAGAAGTTAACAATGTACTACTAATGTATGTTTTCAAATGCGTAAAATTAACGGCATGTTGAATATGTTCTTATATACAATGTGAACTGTTATTTTAAATGTTAAGAAATACCGTGATATGGTAAAAGTGAAAGTAATGTTAAAAATTTTTTATTCGTGTGACTGTAAAAAGACTAAATCATGGTGAATATGTGTTAAAGGTTGAATGAATGTAGTTAGGCTCTCTGACGCTACACTTCAGAGTTAGCCACTTTTCAGAATAGTACCTCAGGGTTTAGAGTTGAAATTAGGGTGTGTTAAGAGGTCTCGTATGTTGAATTTTAACACGTTAGTGTTTTGATTGTAGGAGGAAGTGTTGAACACATAGACAGAAACACATTCGTGTTTGGTGTTTTTTACAACACATGTCAGAGAGCACGGGGAGAGATAATTAAAATAGTCATGAATGAAATAAGAATGTTAAGAGAAAGTATAATTCTATATGTTACTTGCCATGTCATTCTGTAACATTTCATTAAACTAGTTTTCCTTCCAGATCTCTGGAAGGAACCAGAATTGAATAAAGCTCCTGTTTAGATGCAGTACAGATGAAAAAAAAAAATTGTTGTATCCTGGGAGCTGCTATTGTAACAAAATTTCTTTCTTTTAAATTTTTCTAGTTTCTAGCGAAGCATTTGTTTGTAAAAGATTGGCCTCGCGTTAGATTCTAGAGCTAAAAGTTTTCAACAAGGTCGTTTTAGACCTCAGTTTCAAACTAATTAACTCTGGCGGGAAGTATGTAAGGATCTTAAGTTTTACTAACGTTTATTTTATTTTAAATCTTTACTATCACTTCTTATTTTCTACTTCCGGCCAGAATTATAAGCGTGAAGGAGTTTTATGCAAAGTTTGTCTGGCGAACGCCAAGTATTTAAGTGTGGCCTTTTTGCCAAGCGAAAGAGAGGAAGCAGTGAGTTCGAAGCAGGCCGCTTACCTTAGAAGTTACGCAGTTGCTACTTTGCCTTCCAGGCCAGAGGTTTTAATCCTCTTGATAAATTAAACGTATTGTAGTGTTCACAGTCTCTGTGCTACATACGCTTCCTGTTATTATAAGGCCAATCTTATTCTAAAGTTAAATTAGAGTTTAGTTATTTTTATCTTTTACGTTAGACCCCGAGTGGAGGTCATTGTATTCCGAAGTACGGAAGTCATTGTATATAAAGAAAAAATAAAGGGTTTTGTATACCCTTCGTCTGTATCCTGTCTACTTACTACAATTAGTGAACATAGCTTTAGTAAGCTCTCTGTTCTAGTCAGGTCATTGTATGTTTCCGAAGAAGGTAAGAAGAAACATTGAAACCTGATAGGGTCGAATGTACAAGAATGTAATGCAATATTCGATCTTTCACCGACGTATTTGGTGAATGTTGTCATTCTCCGGTGAAAGTCGACATTCTCCAATTTCGGTCTTTCACGGTAACATCTATATGTGTTGTTGCAAAGCAGAGATTCATTCTGATAGCTTTTGTACATTTTGCAGATTGTCCAATGCACTGATGTCCGCAAAGGTTCCCCGGTAGGTAAAAATTTCCGATCAATCATTTATTTAAAACGTAAGAAGAAGATTAAATTTTTAATCTGAAAACTGGCAGAAAATCCAAATTTTATGTATTCTTATTTGTTTAATTTCTTTTTAGGGAGGAAAGAAAGAAAAAGTAAGAATTAGCGATTCATACTGCAGAATTTTTATTTATTGGTATTATCGTAAATTTACATAAACATTTTTTATATTTTAACTCATATTTATTATATTTTACTGAAATGAATATTTGAATATTTGTTTAAATTTGAATACAAAATTATATTTTTTTAAAAATTTTTATCTTGTTTTCTTTGCACTTATTTGCCTGTTGACTTTGTAATATTGTATACGTATTTATTACTACATTAATATTAATTAATGTGATAATGCAGTCTTATTTCAGATATTGTAATTTTTGCATGTTTTTTACTGCAGCATAAATTTTTAAAGTTATGGCTAATAATTATGTTTTTATATGTTTGCCTTATTATTTTGTAACATGAATAATCTTGTATAAAACCTCGTTAGAATTTTTTAAACAGAATGCAGAGATACAGTCCCTCCCATGTCTTGGAGACAGATAGAGATGCTGCCTAAAATTATTTTGAAGTTTTCAAAGACGCGTTTTCATATGAACACAAAAGTGAATGGAATGAATTTTTCTTAATATTTTAGTAGATTCATTCTCTTCTACCCGCCATTTTGGCTATAGTATAAATACAGGAGACAAAGGAGCATTATCAGTTTATCCTTTTCCTAAATTGCATATTCTCAGATACTTAACATTTTAAACATAACATTTAGGATTTTTTTTCTGATTCTGAAATCCGTTTGTTGTATTTGGATAATTCTTTTGTACTTGCTTACCATTATTGTGCGCGAGTTCTCAAGCTTATGTTAATTTTCCGTCTGATGAAACATTTTTCGCCTGAGCAAAGTTTGTCTCGCAATTAGGAAATGGCAAAACTCGAGTTCGAACACTTAAAAAGTATTGCATTGTCAACGACATAAAGCATGCTGACATACATATCAGAGACATCACTGAAAATGATTAGATTAAGAAAGTGGACCAATACTAACCTTGTTGGATGTTACCCTGTTTGACTATAAAATATATGTTAAATATAAAGCATTTAAGCAGGAGAATAATATCTTTTTACAAGGTTAATTAACATGCATAAAGAATGTAACTTGTAAGAACTTGTATAAAGTATTTAATTAACTTCATGAAGGAGGAAAATATTTTTCACTGCTATCCTTTAGCAAACCCAATTGAATGAGGCTAGATCTGACAAGACAACTGAATGATGTAAGATCAGGTTATTGTGCAGGACATGTAACATATTCGTGATCACTTATATTTTTCAGACTGTTCTGCCACCTGTTTTGTAGTATGAACTTAATAAGTAATGGATATGTAACAAATTAGTTTTTTAAGAAGTAAAATGGATAATGTGATTTCTTTTATAACTTCGATAAGCAATTAATACTACGTTTTAAAAACTCTAAACAGGCGTTACTAAAGGCTTAATTTAATCATAAAGAGCAAAGACAGTTATAAAGTGTGCTAAGATTTAGATGTTGATTAACTTTATAAGGTATTTCTCCAGCTTTCCTAGCGTGAATTCGTGATGTAGTGGTTCTGCACGCTGGGCCGGTATTCTAGAGGTCCGTGGTGCGATTCCCGGCGAAGGCGGTTGCTAACTTTTCATCTTGACTGCTTCTAAAAAAATCCTAATGCCTCTACAACCTATTCCAACTTGCCTTCAACATTATCGTTTACTACTTGGTTAATTTAAATTCAGTTTTGTTCAGTTTTTTAATAATATTTATACCGTTCGAATTTTTAATTATGAAGACAAATGTGAAAGTAATTATACAAAAGTGAAATTGTTTATTTAAATACCATGACTTGTGTTCTGACCACGAATGGCCATAAACTGTATGCGATATTTAAATCAATTTATTACCCGTGGAGCAGGGTTTTTTAAAATTTTCTTTAAAAAGTCCAGAAGTGAAAAAGCGTGTGATTAAATTAAAAGTTTACGGCGTGTGTGCAGTCTGAGATGAAAGCTCTGAAAATTTCATTCTAGTATCTGAAGTGTTTCCAGCTGTTCCTCCAGATATAAGATTTTTCTAGCTTACACTTCTGCTGCAGGGTATAAATAATTTTCAGTGTTGTTTATCGAGTGGTTGTTTTATTATTTTAATTTCACTTACTGGAAAAAGTTAATTTCTATTAAATTGTAATACTGCCGCCCTCTTCCAAACATAAAATAAATTTAAAAAAAAAATAGAAAAAGGTAAAAATTCAGCGAGTATTTTGATAAAATTTGACATATTTAAGTTTTTTAACTTAATAGTTAATACTTACAATCTGATATTACTTTCATGATAAAGATACCCATTTTTAATTCATTATTAGTAAATGACCCAAACATTTTTTAATACTTCTGTGTCTACAAAGTTCTAGATTTTAATGCAGTTACCGAACCTTTGTAACATGCGTAAATAAAGCAGAAGAGTATCAGTATATTAAACAAATTTCCAGATAATTTCTAAATACTGTATTTCAGAAAGAACAGTTGGCTTCATTGGAATACCTTGTAAGTATATTTTTTTCCTTAAAACTTCTATTAAGTAGTAAATTATATTAAATTACACTTTACTCATACAATTGTAAATACTCTTACGCAAAAGTAAACTACATCTTACGAAATCCTAATCAGTTCTTTATAATAATCGTGGGATAATATAGAATCGCTGTAATAAGAGTTTAATTTAAAATAATGCAGTGCATATTACAGCTATTTACGTTACATCTAAACATGATATTTACTTACTTCAAGCAGTAGGAAAAAAATGAATTTTATAACAGCGTTCATTTTCAGAACTTTAAAACTCTAGTAATGCAGGCATGCTACCCAAAAAGGCACTTGTTACTGTTGATGGTGATCAACAGTGTCTTGCACTATTGGCAGTGATGAGGCTTAAGAACAAACATCAAATTCGAAATTGTTATACTTCTTAATTATTTCGAAAAGCACGGTAGTCAGTATTCAGCTGCAATTATGGACTCTATCGATTTCTAGGGCCAACAGGTACAGATCCTTCTTCATCAGGGACAATGAAATTCTGCAATCTGCTGATGAGAAATCTGTCCTTTTCGCTCTCGAAATTGATATAGCCTTAATTAAAACCTATGCCATCACAAGATTTTTGCTTTTCCTAATTTTGTGTTTTACTTTGGCGTGTTTCTCTTTTTTCTTAAATTTTGACCACTTGAAATCATTAGTTCTAGGTGTCCATCGAAAACATCGGGCCAAATATATCGCTGACGGAAGCGTCGCGGAGAAAACAACCCTAGGCTAAAATGTCGTCGCAAAAAACATCGTAGGAGAAAAGAAAGGAAGGAGAAAGTATCGCAATTCTAAAATATCGCGGTATAAAGCATCGTCATCGAAAATAAAACGATTCAAAAACATCGCAGTTTAAAACATCGTCATCGATAATATCGTGCAAAAAAAATAAAGCACTCGCAAATCATCGCATGACAATAACATCGCAGACATTCGTTTTCAGCTTAAAAAATTCTCATATTTGCATAACGATTTCTCAGAGCAAAAAGGAATGAAATATGTCTTTAATTTTATATTTCATATTTTTGAATTAACTAATAAATTTTTGCTGAAAAATGAGAAGGAAATTTCAGCAATCAAAAACTGAAAATAAGTAGAAAAATAGTGCTGTTTATAGCAATTAATAGAATTTTAAGCTTATACTGTTAGCTGAGAAAGGTCATTAATTAATTAAGCTCTTTTAAAAAGTATTATTGGTAAATTTTTATTAAAAACATAATCTAAAAATGATTAGAAGAAGGAAAATGAGTAACTGCATGAGATTACTTCTATTAAAATTGCTTAATTAATTATCAAATTATGAAACTTCTATAAATAGTATTACTTTTCTATTCATTTTCAGTTTCTGAATGCTTAAGATTCATTCTTACTTTTTCCGCTAAAATTTATTAGTTAATTCAAAAATATTCCTTATTGCTTCTTGCGCTCGCAAATCATTATGTGACTATATATTTAGAACTTTTAAAGCCTGAAAAACGCATGTCTGCAATGTTATCGTCACGCGATAATTTGCAGATGCTTTATTTTTTACCACGATATTTTCGATGGCAATGTTTTTAAAATATGATGTTTTCTCCTTGCTTTCTTTTTTTTCACGATATTTTGTATGATGATGTTTTCGTCCCTTGCGTTGTTTTCTCCACGATGTTTTCATCTGTGGTGTTTCCGCCTGTAGCCTAGTTTTGGGGATTAATAGGAATATGGCAGAGATTACAGGAGATGATATTTTATGGGTTCTGGATCTTTGAGCAAGTATGGCATCTTCAACTTGTACAAAACAGTAGGATTAGTTGCTCAGAGGACTGGAGAATTACTGTATATAGCAGCTCTTACCTATAATCTTGGAGCCGCCCGTTGAGAACTTTCAATCTTATGTTCCCTCTACAGTTTAACGTCATTTTTTTAACTTATCTCAGAAAATACAGCTTTTTCTTCTCCTCTACCATAATCCTTTGAATCTATTTCGCCAACACAAACTGAACAGTAAAACCGGTTACAGCCGAAACCATCACGGCTAGAAACATCGCTGACGAAAAAGTCACGGAGGCGTAATGGCAGACCGTACATTGAGTTGAACAGTCTTAAACGAATGTCGCATACTGCGCATGCCCAGAAAACAATTTGGCGTAATTACTATGTTGGCGCGATTTGAAAAGAAGATAAATACGGTATATGGCAGATGTACCGCCATCTGATTGTAAACAAATCTGGCGTTTAAATCTTCGTAGAGTATAATGTAAATGTAAATTAATTACTGTTTTAAAATACTATTTTTTGCTGTACTGCTGAAACAACTAGAAAGCTGAAATTATTGCGAACACTGAGGAGTATAACAAAGTGCTTGCAAATAACCCTGAAGAAATTTTACAATTCCTTAATACTAGTTATTAAATTCTTTGAAATGAGAAAATAAAAGCGCGAATATACGCTGACAAACTAAGCGAGAAACTCTAGTTTACAATTACTGAATTATAACATGTAAGCAAATTACATC